TCTATCTGTTGTGACTGACTTCCATTTCTTTCCCACTCGTGAGTCCCAGCAGGAAGGACAACAATTGATGGCCTGGAAAATATAAACCCAAATGCCTTTGAGTTATGTTTGCACATCTGGAATTGGGGTCTGATCCTTCACCGCTGTATCCACGGGTGCTGGGTGGGTGGAGGGGACAGGACTGATAGGACGGCAAACATTTGTCCTTTCCTAATGACTGATCAGGGAGGAGTTAAAATCTCCTGGCAACTTGGAAAGAGTAGAGGGGGATCGCCGTGTTTGGCCACGGATACACCTTCAGTCAGATTTTAGACTAGGAATCGCCATTGTGAGCAAGATCTAGACAGCGCCCGTCTTGGGGACTTCAAAGGATGCTGTAAGAACGTGGCAGCGGGTAACCACAGGGAAATCCTCTTCCATATTATGCCTTATCTTGACCTCGAACAGATACCAGTATGATCCTTGGGACCTGACATTTAATAGCTCTTTGGAAGTCTCGTTACCATGAGCTGCAGCAGCTCTGGAGAGCTGCGGTACGTAGCGCTTTGTTGCACAAATATCACTTTCTAAAATAGCTTGCGTAGGGCCAGGGGTTGGGTGCTTCAACACAGAAACTTCCTGGTTGTAAACCGTGGATCTTCAAAGAGATTTTTAATGCTGTTTTTGTCTGGCAGCTGCTTTTACTATGCATTGGCTGGTACATTAGGAAACTTCGAGTCTGCACGTGAAAATAGGTTGAAAATTATTACTCTCTTACAGCGTAGCGATAAGCAAGAAAGTGGACTGGATGTCACTCTGTGAGGGTCTATTTTTGTAACTTTTCTACGGTTTTTATTAGTTTGTGGAGGCCGAGAAGGTTGCCAGCTCTGAGATTACAAAACCTTCTTGAATGTGCTCCTTCGAATTCTTTTGCTAGATATGAATTTGTGGCATAAGTGATCTTATGGAGCTCCTGAGTCCGTCACGGCGAGGGCGTTGTTTGGCCAGGGGAGGGGGAAGACGTCACAAGAGAAAATGAGACCGAGTTTGCTAATTCCACCTGGCAGAGGTCTGATCCGGGTGGAAGCGCGTGGGAAATGCGGGAAGGGTTCACTCGTAAGGCCTGATCCGTAGGGTCCCGGTTATACGATGAGCTCTTCGGAGGAGTGCGTCTGCTAGTAGGAAAACGGTTGTGCAGAGCTGGTGTTTGACCCTCCGGGTCTGGGAAACATCTAGCCAGGTGGGAGTTAGGAACTGAGTCCAGGCTTCAGGACCGAGTGCCTTTGCTGGAGACTTGGACCGCATCCCCGAGCTTTAATGAAAAATCAAAGTAATAATCTCTCCTGGTGGCCCGTTCAGCTGGAAGCCCGGTGGTGCGGAGACCGTCCGGCACCTTGCGCAACGTGGCTCCCCCTTTCCTCCCTGTCCCCTTCTGCTGTTGTAACACCCCAACTATGGTAATTGAATATTCATCATTAGCCTCCAGCAGACTTTAAATAGACCGGTGACAGCTTCCTTCCTTGTAAATTCTTTCCCCAACCAACTTTTTTTTTCCTTCTTCTAATTTTACAACTTTTAATGCCAAAAAAAAAAAAAAAAAGAAGCCCATTAACAGCCCCATGTAAAACTAACTCACATTCTGGCCCGGGAGCAACAGTCTCTTCCTTGCTGTGTGGACAATTTCCTATATTGCCTGTGTAAGTCAAGCTTTAATCCTTTTTTTTTCCCCCCACCCCCCCTACTTTGCTACAATTTTTTTTTTGGACAGCAAAATTTCTGGACACAAAAGTCATTTTGTGCCAGCGGTGAACAAAAGCTTTCACTCCGTTAAACTGTGGCCCAAGATTACAACCAGCTATTTTGGGAAGTGACTTTTAGGCACTGAAAACAAAAAAGAAATCTGATAAATTTTAAAGACTGAAGGAGAAACTTAAAATCGTACGTGTGCACACCGCATATTAAGTGGGATCAGGAAATGGTATGAATGTTTCAAGATGACTATTGCTTTACAAGGTACCAAAGATATTTCTTCATTAGAGATAGGCTCCTATAAGGAAGAAAAAGGTAGAAATACAGAGATAACTGCCTTTGTCTATAGAAAAATGGCAGAGTGAAAGAAAGAGAATATTTTAGGTATTTAGTTAGAAAATAGTTTCCTTCCTCTCCCTCCTCAAAGAGTTGATTTTTTGGCAAAAATAACACCCAACATGTTTTGACTGAAATGGAAATATTTCAGTCTGGAGAAAAGTCATTGCGATACCTCTTGGGAACTGCTGTTTGGAAACTTGGTGTCTCCAACCTGTTCCCCCTCCAGCATGACTCCCTGCTCCCACCGCGTCTCCCACAGAGCACCATGGTCCTCTCTTACGGCCATTGGAGGCCGTTGTGTCCCATGGGAAATGCCGTCTGAAAGGCATTTCGTCCCCCGCGCACAACGGGACCGTGGGATCCTGACATCACCTATGCTGGCACTTCAGGGTAAAAATGTTGCTGTTTCAGGCATACAGCTCCTTTACAGAAAGGAAATCTTTTTTGTCAAGAAAAAACAATCATGTTGTTAATTTTTTTTCCCCTTCTCAGCTCTCCACTGAGACAGAGAAAGTGTAGATTTAAGTGAGAGGTGTTTGAGTATCGGAGATGGCTTCTTGGTGTTTGTGTGGTGCTTCACACACTGAAGGTCTGATGCTGGTGGGGTCCCTGTGAGCTACCCTGAGAATCTACTGTAAGAAACCCCCATGCAGATCTAATCCCATGTGTGAATGGGGAGAGGATGGCACCCCCGAAGAGACACCCAGTGCTTCCCCCACCGAAGCCAGGAGAAACTGTGACAGCAGTCATCTCTACATCCTCCAAAAGAGCCACAGAGAACATGATGTGGCATCATGCCATGGCATGTCCCTCCTCCTCCTCCACTGTAACTCATAGGTACCCCACTGGAGAGAAAAAAAAAAAAAAAAAAAAAAAAGAAAAAAAAGGTTTTGTCATTTCTTGGTGGTGATAGAGGGTGGTGATGTTGGAGCTGAAGAGGAAACCAGCCAATCCATGCAGAAGACTCTCACTAGGGAGGAGAGCTAAGGGCAAGGCCCACGTGTCACATCCCTGTGGCTTGTCTCCTTGGAAGGGAAACGTGGTGGGGATGCAGCTTTGGGGTGTCATCCTGGTACTATTTCCATGACAATCCCTGTGTGAAGGTGGAGTGTGACAGGAACAGGCAGCTCAAAACTGTGACCTGGTCGGGCTGGGAGGTACCATTGAACCTAGAAGGTTTGAAGGTCATAGATCTTGACCTTCCTGAAAAGCCACCAAAGCTGCCCTCCAGCAAGAGCTCCTGGTTGGAAATGCTAACGCTGGATGTCCACAGGCAGAGAGGTCTTCTGAAGCTCACCACACACCCTGGCATCCGTTGCTGTCTTGCATATCTGAGGGATAAGTCTCTGCTTCCTCTCAGTCCATCTCTCTCTTGTTCCTTGTGCACAGCCTGAACTTCAGTTCTGGGGAAAAACCCGCTTGGTCATCCAGCCCAAGGGTGTGGGCAGTCATCCTCCTGCTGGCCCTGCGGGGAGGAGCTGCTGGGCTTCCAGGGAAGAAATCCCACCTTTGGAATAGGTTCTGCTTGGCAAGCCACCGGTGCCCAGGGTTTGGAAGGCTTTCGTGGCACAATGAAGAGACACATTTATTTGGTTTTGAGCTCCTGGGTGAATTTCCCCTCCGTTACAGCTTGGTTGCTGATGTTTCTGGCAGCCACCAGAGCAGTGGTTTGGATGAAAGCTCCCTGCTGTGAGTAGGTTTATAGAATCGGTATTGTTAAGTTTTGTAAATAAGTCCTGAGTTGCTAGAGTCCTCTCTAAGGGGTGTAATCGGAGGTTCGGGGCTCCTCCTCCGCATGTAAGTGGCCGGGTAAGCCTGTTGATGGGATTTAAGGATCTGTCCTTTCTCCAGTAGAATGATTTTGGGCAGGTGAGTAGGATGCCTCAAAGCCAGCTTGGTCCAATGGTTGCAGCCTCAAAGAAGAAAGCTTGTGTTGGAACGTGGGCTCTGGCTCGTGGCGGCTCTGAGCCTGGTGGCGCTTTGCGAGGTGCTGCTGAACTACCTGATCTTTACGTGTTTTAGCAAGTCCTTGGGTTCAGGGAGCACCCGGATGACTTGGAGAGTCAGGAGGAGGCTTGCACCTCGCCTGACGTCTCTGAGACCCCCTACTCGACTTCAGTTCCGCTCCCTGCAGAGCAGGAATAGTCTTGGCCAGCCATGTTCCTTATGTGCTTGGAGAAATGTCTCCAAAACACACTGTAGGGTCTTGTAGGAGAGGGGATTTCCAGCTGGTGTTGGCAAAGCACCCCTGCTTCAAACCAGATTTCAGAGCAAGGGAACAAACCAGACTTTCCATCAGTGCTCACCCTCCCAGCCTGGCTCTGCTGGGGCGTGTGGCTGTGGCGTGCATCAGGTCTTGGTGATTTATTTATTTCTCTTTTTCTGAGTGCTCTGGAGTGGAGCTTGGTCTCTGGTCCAGGGATCCCCCATCCCATCCAGGACAACCAGGCTGGCAGACCCTGGGGAAAAGGAACGGGGAAAACTACCACGAGGGGAAAAAGCAGACCTAAATATTAAATCCATCTCCAAGTCAGCTTGGCAGAAATAAGGTTTTTATTTACACGCATGTGCGCAACCACATATGCAATATAAATAGTATATAATTTATAAATGCTATCATAACACGTACATATAAATCTTGTGTATTTCACTATTGCTGCGTATATGTATTTTATGTATGGGTGTAAAATAGCAGTTGTGGTGGGAGAGGCATGAATCTAAAGGCAAAGATACTAAAAGGAAAGTGAAATGGAAGAGTGCTGCACGGATAAAGTGTGATGGGGCTGCAGTCTCCTGGGAGGGATGTCTCTCTTTAGTAAGCAAACTCCGTGACACTAATGTGCTGCCTTCATTTATTAATTCACTGATCTATTTATTAATTGATTGCTTTTCTGCCTTGTGTGTTTTTTTTTTTTTCCCCCCTTTGCTTTCAGTAAAGAGTACCCGGTCGTTCCCAGGAGCACAGTGAGACAAAAAGTGTCCTCGAATCACAGCCCCTTCAGTGGCGAGACCAGAGTCCTTTCTGCCTCCTCCAACCTGGGCTCCCAGTACCAGTGTGAGAACGGGGTGTCGAGCACCTCCCAGGACCTGCTGCCGCCGGCCAACCCCTACCCGATCTCCCAGGAGCACAGCCAGATCTACCACTGCACCAAGAGAAAAGGTCAGGCCTTGGCTGCTCCCCGCTCGGTGCTTTTCCCTCCCTAACGTGGCTGTCGGGGCCGTTTGCTGACGTTTCCCCTTGCCCACGGGCCGGGCATGAGGGCTGTGCGCCGGAGGTGGGCAGCTCGCCCAGGCTGGGCTGGGCAACTCGTGCCACCAGCGTTAGCCTAAAACCCCATCGCTGCCGCTGGGCTGGGAGCGAGCTCTCGGGAGGGGTGGCGGTGCCTTTCGCCCGTGTCGAATCCACATTCGGTAAGATAGCTGGTGCTGGAGATAAAGATGACTTATCTGCCTCCGTAGTCCCTCAGACAGGGTTAATCTTCAAGTGGAGATACCTTGACAGCTTGGATTTTGCTCAGGTTTCAGCTGAGAGTCTCACAGTTGGGAGACAGTTGTCCACAGGCAGAAAGCAATTCCACTTTAAATGCCCGGTCTAATGAATGGGGCATGGGATTGAAAATCAAGATATCCATGTTCGTTCCCCTCTGCTGCGACTGACCTGCTTTGACAGAGCTGGAGGGATCAAACCGTGAGGGCTTTACACTGGCTGCTCGGCTCGTCCTGGCGTGAAGAGCCCCACGATGTCGGTGGGATAGTTGTTCTCGGGCAGGAGCAAGCGGTTTGCAGCCTCTCCCTTCCTCTCCCAAAGCAATGGGAATG